ACTACAGAGAAAAACTATTTATTGCCTACAGAAATTTTGATTGAGAAAGAAATTCTGTTGCTGACATAGGCCTTTTATGAGAGAGAAACTATCTGTAGTTGACACAAGATAATCTATCCTGCTAAAAAGAGGAGTGGAAGCCGCAGATGTAATGAATCACCCTAGCAATAATTCAAATCACAAAGGAGCTTGGACGGAAGATGGAAGGTGTGTCTATAAGTAGCTGCACCTTCTTTTCGTTGGAACACAGGCAAAAGGCAGCAGATGGGTTGAGGACTTGCACCCTGCAGGAAGGATTGATCTGGAGCGCAAAGGATACGATCTGCAAACTAAACAAGCTGGTAGACAATAAAGCAAGTGCTTGAACGAGCAGATGATCCACGTGAAGGAGACAGAATGAGTGGACGATCCATGCAAAGGGGACGATCCTTGCCTGTAGGGAAGGATATGATTCAGTGAAGGGCTTTTAGGGACTGGTGGCTGCATGGAGAGGCTCCGACGGAGGAAGAAGAGCTAGGGTTTCTTTATAAGCCTCGATACAATGTAGATTTTTGGAGAATAAAATTATTTTCTCACTAAGCAAATAACTAATATATATACATCTTATTCTAACTCTCTTACAATTAGAAGGAGATTCAAATCATCAATAAAAGGAAAGAAATAAATCACAACAATAGATAATTAAGGGGAATATGTTATCCTCTCAATTGTAACAACTGACCCATTGTTTGCAAGACCGTGTGCATATCAACAATCTTATTTTCAATGCGTCTGGTGTGGTCTTATTTCATGAATCTGCTACTTTTTTTTCCTTCTTTTTTTTTTACTTATGAATCTGCATTCAACATTATTTTAGACAACCCTAGAAATATTTTCTTGAAGGTACTTTGGATGATGCGATTATGTCTACTATTTGTGATTACTTAAAATAGATATCTTATCTACTAGTGTAATGTACCAATTTGTGATGATTCTTGTATTGCATTAAATGAAGCACAAATTTATATTTGATTTTTCTGATTGATCTTAAAAGCTCAATCTGTTGAAATAAATCATTTTTGTTAAACTAGGTAGTTTAACAAGGGGGCTGTAGTAGCTGACTTATGCGGGTGCTATTCGTTTTAGTTCATCCCATGTGCGATGTTGTGTTGCCTTTGACTTGTTTGCCCAGCTAGTTCTTGTGTCACACAATTCCTGAATTACATTCAGTTCTTATGCGCTTGCAATTCTTGAGCTACGTGCAGCTCTTATGCTCTTTTCTTGCACATATGAACCCTTGTATGTGGGCTCTACAGCTTTGTGTGTATTTCCTTGCATGTGGGTCCTGAAGACTTGCTTGCAATTTTCTTGGCAGCTCTTTATGCGGATCTGCATGAAGCTTTCTTAGTTGTTTTGTCGTTGCTTCTCTGTTGAGCTTATATGTTTGGGATTGTTTCCACTATCTATGCAAGTTTTGTTTTTCATATTCCATATGAAATTTTGATAAATAAATAGTCTAATGCATGTAGCAGATACCTTTCAATCAATAAAATGTTTGTTTCCACTTTCAATTTTGTATGCATGTTAGATGTGTGATTCATCATGTGTGATATTAATGCGACTACAATAATTTGTGAGACGTTATCTCCTTATATCAACATGAGGACTAGATTTTCCTCACTTTGATGAAATTATTTTTCTTAAAATTTTTCGAAATATCTTCCTATTACCTTGCTACAAGTCTTAGTTTCTTCAAATTTGATACAATTGAGTTTCAATTATGATGGAAAACTTTTCAATTGCTCAATAATTTACTTGATATAAAGTTTTCATTTATTTATTTGATCTTAGTTGATCATTGCATCATCATTTGGTGTTAAACAATTTCTAGTACTTTTGGGTTTACACCTAAAGAAAGCAGTAATTGTGCATTCATTGGTCTTGGATCCATGAATCCCAATTTCCTTTGTGTGATTTATATCTATGACATCATCCTACTTGCACCAGGAAATCTAAGCCCTAAACTTTTTTGCATTAGGAAGAAAATGGGCAGATTGAAGGTAACTCAAGGACATTATATATAGGAAAAGATTTGCTTACAATAGATTTATCATCCCATACAACACCTAGTTGGAGCAAAGGGAGGCTAAAAATTCATAAAATTGAGCCCAAATAATTAGGATAAGGATAAATGATGATGAAGCAAAGCAAAGGCATGCGTTCAAAAGAGAGCATGGCCTTCTAGAATTAGGTGGCAAAAAGTGAAATAAAATTGATGCATTCTAGGTTTATTATCTATGCAATTTTGCTAAAGACAAGATAATGAGTAATATTTTTTTTTTGCATATAATAAGAAACCTAAAATTTAGATGCCTAAAATAGAGAGATGGCTTACGATTACTATATTGTAAGATAATATCATTGACACCTAAAGTGAAAAATTATAAAGTTGGAATTAGGTTGGCTGTATTTTATGTTAAAAATTTGGCTTTAAGGAAGCTATCAATTGCCAATTTAAGTTTGGTAAAATAGAATATTCAGAGTATTGAGAGGAATGTATAGCACAATGGGGAATGATAGATTGAAAATGATTATATTAAGAGTAAGACAGGAATAGCTTTTATTAAAAATAAGCTGGTAAAAAATAAACCATTTATTTGGACATCCAAAGAAGGCTAGAAATTGAACCCATATCAAGAAAAATAAAAATTATATTAAAATTAGGAAGAAAAAATGACTGAATGAAGGTAGCAAATTGAACGCTCGTTCAAAAAGATTTATATTGATTTAGCACTTCATATAACATTGGTGGGGACAAATATAGAATGAAGATTTATTAAGTTAATGCCAAATAGTGAAGTTAATACTTAGTGATGATGGTGAAGCACTTGTATGCAGTGCAAATGAGTTCATGCACTTGTAGAATGAGAAAGTAAAATGGCATAAAGTTGATAAATTCTTGTTTTGTGAATAATCTGGCAATTCCACTAAGGAAAAGAGAGAGAATATTGTTTTCTCTTTTGACAAATTATATTAAACCTAAGGATAGGTGATTAGATTAAAATGTGGCTTATAAATTCTTTGCAATGGTAAAATATTTTTGAGATTGAAAGGTAAGATTTATAAAATTGTAATTAGGCTATTTTTTATGGTCAATAATTGAGTTATTGATAGCTAAATTATACATGATTACAGTAGGAATTTTAAAATAGTTATGTGATAAAATTAGAAATGATTGATTAAAAAATGATCATATTAGAGTACATTTGAAAATTAGGGTTATTAGTTTATGTTAACAAGTTGGGTTTGACTCTGAACTAAAGTTGAGCTGACTCAAATATTCTTAACCTAAACTTTATTGATTTATTATATGGGCCAAAATATATGTGCCAAATCGGACTTGATTTGAACTTTTATAAACTTCTTTATGATATGGATCATGTAATTTTTTGGTTCCACGACACATAACTCATTTGACCCATCTAACTAGAATGAACTCAAGTAGTAATTGGTTCAATTGGAATTATTCAGCTTAAATCAAACTCACTTCAAATAATGAGTATAATTTTGATCCATACCTAACTTAAATAATGATCAGGTTAACTGAACACATATTTTTTGTGTCAGGTTAGATTATGTTGTTTTCTATTACCACTAGGGGCGATAGCATTTGCTGAAAATAAGACTGAAATATATTTTAGAGTTTTTTGGCAAATCATTAAGGATAGTAAATGCACCCCTAAAATGAGCAATTAGATTTATGTATGAGAATTTAAGAGAAAATTTAGGTTGAAAGTAACATGAACATCAATTTTAAAAAAAAGCTTTGTATTGAGCAGATTTAGTGCCCAATGCATTACTTAAAATGAATAAATGGAGAATGGAGATTCTTATAACCAACCCTAATTTATTAGGATAAAGTTAAATGATGATGATGATGAACTAGCAAAGGCATGTGCTTATGGAATACGGAAGCAAAAAAGAGGAATAATGTTAATTCCTCTTATTTTAATTGCCATGCAATGCCACTAGAGGAAAGATAAGAAATAATATTTCATATTTTAGCATATTATAATAATCAGATGTTAGGAAGTTAAAATAGAGATGTGGCTCAAGACTGGTATGTAATAAGGGAAATTTATAGAGACATAAAAAAAAGTAAGATTTATTAAATTGCAATTAGCTTAGCTTTTGTTTATGGATCTGAAGGTTAGGCAACAAAAAAGTCATTGATAGCTAACTTATGCATGACAAAAATAAGAATGAAGTAGGAAGTTCTTGATCCAACAATTGCTTTATTTTTAATACATGTTTCTGTCATAGGTCTAGTATGTGTACCGTACTTGAACATTCTGGCTTAAATTTAGCAAGATTCTTCCATTTTAACTACAGTATTTGTGTATTCAACAAAATTGAATTGGGAGAATGCTTCATGAAGCTGACCCTTGTTAGTGCTAATATTGATCATCAGATATGTCTGCTTTCCTTATTATTTATTTAAATTTAAATTTCTAATATTGAATTTCTAACTTTAAATATCAAAACATGTAAGCAGTATTATAAGCATTATTAAATGATCTTTATGACTTTTCTTGTGGGGTTTAATTTTATCTTCAAATGTATTTTTTCAATGATAGAAACATGTTAAATTTTGCATATACTAAAAAAAAAAAGAAAAACAC